AGAGTGATGATATATAAATATAATGAATCTAGTGAATAATCTCAAAAATACAAATGACATATTATCCTACACGCCTATTACTTCAATTACGGTATGTTCTGATTTACTAAATTGTACAGAAGTGAAATGAAATGAATTGTTTATGAGAGAAGGAAATTAGAAACTGAACTGAAATGAACTAAAATTAAGCTGAAGAGAACAGGTCCTTAGTATACATTTAGATATCGAGCTAACCTCTTGATTATATAGTCATTAAAAATCGATTCTTTTTATGCTAAACCACAAAAACATTTCAAAAATAATGATCGGTAAAATGACCATTATACCCCTGTTGTAGTCAATAGAAGCATTGGTGTACAACAATGATTAAAATGATGGGTCACACACTACACACATATAATTTGAAAGAAACCAAGTAACCAACCAAAAAATATTCTTGTGGAGGGGTCATATTCTAATCTAATTTTTCTATAGTACTACTAAATACACTATGTTACTACGTGGGGGTGTTGGGGGGGGGGGGGGAAGAAAGCTAAGGTAGCTCTGACTCATAGGAATTGGAATGCCTCGGCACTTGGACCCCTCATTAGCTCTCTAACCAATCAATGACCATTTTTTTTCATCCCAATTTTTCTCCTCTCTTTCTTTCAATTCCTTCAACTATATACAGAATACAGATACATCAGTCTGCCATAAAATGTAAGATTCAACATTGAATATCTATTGATGCAGATCATGCAGTATGTCATATGCCGCAGGGATAAAAAAAATTATAATTGTGACTGACCCTAAAGTTTTAGGACAGTTCTTACTTCTTATTAGAGGACCCCCACCACCCAAAAACATAAAAATTTGACCCACACCCTTAATTATTAAGGACAATCACAAGATTGATCACAACCTTCTTAGACTCTAAATGAGTTTGGTTTCGTTTTCCTTTTACAACGGGATTGGTTGTTTTTACCATAAGGAGAAGGGGTCAAATGGGTTGAGTCGTCGCAGGTTAATCTAGTTCAGCTTTGTAAGTGTTCTTTAATGTTTACATTATAATTAAGTGTACATACGCGGGTTGGTGGACATTTAGATTATTTAAATTATAGGCTCTCCTACTAAATTAACAAAGATACCCTAAACTCAAGTATAAAATGTATGTACAAGTATGTTGTCACAAATGAGAAGAGAAAGACTATAGATTTTCCATCCCTAGCTATTTGAATAATTAAACGTTTGACCTCGCCACCTCGAGTATTAAGGGCATCCACAATAAGAGGTTTGTCATTGGGTTTGTGGGAACTTTTTTGAGGTTTGTTGACAAACCTCTTATTGTGGGAAAAGCAAAATAAGGAACAGGTTTGTATATACAAACCTGTTTATTTGCTCCAAATGGCCCACTTTCTCTTTTTTTTTTTTAAAAAAAAAAAAATCTTGTTAGGGCTTATTTTATTGTTTAGATAAATTTAATTAGTTGTAAGTAGGTCTTATATACCTTTGAAGAGGATTTATTTATTGTTGATGAAAGGTTTGTCAAGTGTGGGGTTTGTATGATGATGAGGCAAGTAAACAAATCTCTTAGAGGTTTGTTCTATTGCTCATGCCCTAAGGTAAAACTCTAACTACTAGCTACAAAGTACCAACCAAACAATATACTACCATTACTACGTATTTGATGATACCAATAAATAATGACTCCAATGGAACATATTATTCAGGTTTCTTTTTTTTTAATATCACTTATTTTCTTTGTTCTTCAACTCCTGAGTATTAGCAGAATAGCAGATGGCCAGATGCTTTTGACTATTTTGTGAAGATGAGTTTGTCCCGAAAAAGATAGTCATAGCTTTTCCCACATATTTTGGACCCATAATATATTTTGTTTTGTGCAGCTTTTTCTCCTTCAACTATTCTCTGAAGATGAATAAGTGACTCCTGACTTACTGAGCAATTACCAGTGATTCTTGAATTTTGCTGTTGGAATTTCTATGTGCAACATAATAAACATATGATGGCCTAATTATCTCAACAATTTTCATTCACTTTCAATGGAGATCCACTTCTTTTATATCTACACAGTTATTATCAAATCTATCATGTTAGGGATAATTTACATTCTCTTTAATTGACATTTTCTTACTTAAATTATATTATTTTTATTGATAAGAAAATTACTTTTACTCATTAAACTTCTAAAAGTACACATTGAGGGTCTGTTCTTTTCAAATTAATTTCACTTTAGCTCCAATCAAACAGATCCTAAAACAAATCTAAGATAATACTCCCCACTATACTTTTTTTTTTTTTTAAACGTAGTAATAGCTAATATGTATAAGATATGGACTAGAAATATAGAAGATCATATCTATACTAATATATTAAAAGGTGTTACTAAGAATGTATAAGAAAGATAGTTACTTAACCATCTAAGCCAATCATAAACTATGTTATAAACATAAAAATAAATGTATATAATTGAAAATTACAATAAGGTCTTATTAAAGTAACAACCAGTGCAACACTCGGACTACACACTACTCCGTAGTTTTTATCTTAAACTTTGATCAAGTGAATGCTATATTTAGGGTCTGTTCACATTTATTGAAATGAACCGAATTGATTGGAGTTGAACGGAACTGAACTGAACTGAATATTTTATGAGAGAGGGAAATTAAGAACTGAACTGAACTGAACTGATTGGAGCTGAACTAAACTAAACTGAACTGAACTGAAATTAAGTAAATGTGAATATACCTTAGACTTTAGAGTAGCTCCAAAATTAATTTTAAAAATAACACCATTAAAAAGTAAATAAATCATGGTCCACTCATTACATATCTACATTCTCTTCATGTTACTTGTTCACCCACTAGTATACACATAACGTTGGAAGCGGATCACTTGAGAATTTGTGATTATTGGTGCAATGGTGCTCATTCAACTGCTCATTGTTCAACTTCTAATTATAACACGCGACTCTCATTTTCGGATCTTCAATGTTGACCATATTAACTTTTTTTTCAATCAAGATCATCACTATTCACTCAATTAAACCATTTTTTTTATTAGGTGATACAAATTTTCATACAAGCTAAGGGACTGTTTTGATAAACTGAAATGAGCTGAATTGACTGAATCGAACTGAACTAAAATGAATTATTAATAAGAGAAGGAAATAGGAACTGAACTGAAAAGAAGTGAAATTAAGCTGAAGAGAATAGACTTAAGTAAATAAAAAACAAAGATTCTTTAGAACAGGTCAAATTTCGACAAATTTAATAGCTAGGGTGTACTTATGGAAGTACTAGGTAATATAGCATGTGAAACTTTGGCTCATGAATGACAGTGCATGAACAAAATTCCAAAAGTCATTAAAAAAAAAAAAAATCAAAAATATGAACCAAATCCTCTAGCATAAAATTAGTAGTATTCGACCCTGTCCTTCATAAACTAGCGGAAAACCGAAATGGAAAGCATTTTAATTATTTGACATTCCAAAATTTGATGTGACTCTTATTTGAGCTACTAATGTCAATCACATGATACAAATATACAATTAATGATTTGAAACTGGGGTGGTTGCACTGTTAGCATACTAAGAAAACGAATGCCTTAGTCCTAGAATAATTGGAAACTTGGAAGGACTTGTAGTCTTGTACATAATTTAATAAGCTTCGCTGAATGAAAGGTGTACTAAAAGTAAGATTATTTGATTTCATGAAAAGTTGGTAATTCTTCAAGATTAGGTTAAGACGAAGATGCATACAAAATATTGGAATAAGTGAATGGTAATCTATAAAAAATTTGACCGTTGAGTTCCTTGCAACCATTGTGTCTCACAAAGTATAAGCCATGGTAATTTGAAATTTCTCATTTAGATCCTCAACTACCTAATTTTGTGTCTTTTTTCACACTAATCTTATTCAAAAATACTATACGAAGTACTACGTAATAAGTTATGACTATACGAAATATTGTTTGATTTTCCACTACCTTTAGTCCTTAACCCTTAAAACTTATTATCATTTCGATTATACTCCGTAGTAGTAATGCAGTTTCAGTTTGTGCATATAAATGGGATGGCCCAATTTTAAAGAGGATACGAAGGAGATATCGAGACTATTGGTTTATTTATCTAAAAGGCCCAAAGAAAGGCCCAATTAGATAGCAGATGGATATTGGACTTGCGTTGACTAAAAAAAATCCAAGTGGAACAGATGGCCAATAGAATGTTGAAGCTGAGATAACTCATGTATGATGATAATTTTTGCTAAACACGTGTGGCTCACATTAATTGACAAATCCAACACGTATTAGCAAATCTTTTGTGATTTTAAAGGTGTTTATCATAAATACTCTACTATTAATTATCCAAAAGCTATTTATGTTATCACAATTTATTACCGAGTATTGTCAAATTCATAGAGTAAACTTTACAAACTCTATTTCTAGATATTAAATCATATTTTTAGTCAAAGAATTTAATTCTTAAACTTTACCAGTAATTCATAAGTTCATAACCTATTTTCATGAATATAAATTAATATTATGTGTGAAAAAAGTGATTTTATAAATAAAAATATATAGATTCATTTCTTTTATTGGGGTTTTTTGAGAGAGAAAACAATAAAGAAGGTAAAAATGTAAAATACACATTAATGTTTATAGTTACATACTTAGTTAAAAGTTGAGCCGAATTGGTTTAATTGATATCTACAAGCTTAAAATATAAGATCAATATTTTGTAACGATAAGGTAGAATCTAATTTAGTTACTTCATATATCATTTGCATTTCAATCTTTGTGTGGTCGGGTTACTTTTAAGGAAAACCTATTCAGGGGTTACTCAAGGCCTGTTCTGATTGACTAAACTGAATATTTTATGAGAGAAGAAAATTAAAAACTGAAATGAAAATAATTTGAAGAGAACAGACCCTCAGTCAGTCAGTGGTTACTTGTTAAAGGTTAATTAGTCGGCCAAAACTTACTTACAGGGGGTTACTTATAAGTTATAACCCCGACCACATGATATGGTCATAAAAAAAGCTAATCACTAAACACACTACATGATTTATTATTAAGCTAAAACGACTTTAAGTCTGGAACAACTCTTTTTTTTTTTTTTTTTTAAAGGGGGATAACTCTCTTATCACCTAATCGGCTAATCCAGCTTTTTATTGGTAGTTAGTTAATTTACTTTTAAAACGGACTATAAGAACAAAAAGATGTGCTAATCCTTAAGATTTCCTGGTTTGTATCTTGTAAATTAGCTAACAGTAGCAGTGAGCCAGTGATATGTGGAGTAAACTGAAGAACACTAAACTTCAATGGCTTCTCTATCTCTTTGTTTAAAACCATACAAATTTTTTCCCATCAAATTTTCTCTCTCTCAAAATTTTAAAACCCCAGAAAATTACAATAACATAATCAATTATAGTAATAACGACCCTATTAATTTCAATGTTAAAGGTAAAGATTTGAAGCCCATAATTATCACCGGCAATCCTCCCACTTTCGTCTCTGCTCCTGATCGTCGAATTGTCGCTGGTTCGTTTTCTCTCTCTTATTTGTTTTTCGCAATTTTATTTCATAATTTTTTGCTATAATTATTTGATTTTTGAGATGATAACTGGGTATATTTTGTAAAATTATGATAATTGGCAAGTGGGTTTGAAGATTTTTTAATTGTAAAGTGGGAATTTGTGGGAAAGTTCTGAATTTTTAAGAGGATGCCTATAATTATATGGTTAAAAATTATGTAAATTAAGTGTAAATTAAGCCATGATTACAATTAACATTGGAAATGATTACAGATTAGGAGTATAGTTGTATGTGATAGTTATTTCTTGTTAAAAGTGGTGAAATGTTTTTAAGTTTGAAGCTTTAATTTTTGTTGTCATTGAAATCTTGTGAATTGTGTAGTGGGGGATTTGCATGGAGATTTGTCTAAGGCAAGATGGGCGCTCAACATGGCCGGAGTCTTGAGTTCAGATGGTCGAGACTTGTGGACTGGCGGCGAGACGGTATGCTCTAATACCATGTCCTTGTTTGTATGATTCCATGGGAGATGATGGATTGATGGATAATCATGATGAATTGTAATATGTGAATATCTATATGTTACACCTTTCTATATTTATAATACAATAGTTTTTCATCCAATAATAATAATAAAAAAAAACAATAGTTTTCCATACAAACAGTTTGTGTCCTTGTAATTGCGTTCTAGTTGCAAGGATTGATATTGTCACTGCCAATTTACGGTGTTTCCAGCATTGTGATCAAGGGATGAAGGCGTGTCTTAGCTATTAGTGTTGAGTGTTGATTCATTTGTCTAGTGGTTATCTATTCAGATTTAGTTATTGTGTTAATCATTGATTGTTGGTTCTCTGTCTAGTGTTTACAGTGCCATTATATGTACATCTGCATCTTTTCGGTGCAAGATTATGTGATAAGTAGATATACCTATGTCAGCGAGTTGAGTACTAGATATGGTTGGATAGGAAGAGTTTTGGGAATGTTGTTTCTAACATTGTGTATATATAATAGATTGATTAATTGTTCAATTAGTGTTAATGGTTGATTGTTAATCATCTGTCTAGTGTTTACACTGCTATTTATATGTACTTGCATCATTTCGGTGCAAGATAATGTGATAAGGGCATGAGCAATAGAACAAACCTCTAATGGGTTTGTTCACTTGCCACATCATCATCATACAAACCCCCCATTTAACAAACCTTTCATCAACAATAGATAAACCTATTCAAAGATTTATGTATGGGACCCATTGTCAATACAACTCATCAAAACAAAAACAAAGAAGTTAAATGTTTAAAGAAAAAAAAATTAATAATTAAAAAAAAAAACTAAAAGTGGGCCATGGAAGCCTCCTTGAACCGGTTTGTATATACAAACCTGTTGAAAACAAACCTCTTTCCACAATAAGAGGTTTGTGGACAAACCTCTAATTTTTTTCCTCAAACCTCTAAACAAACCTCTTATTGTGGATGCCCTAAGTATCTATACTTATGTCAGAGAGTTGAGTACTTGATATGGACATATGGTTGGATAGGAAGAGTTTTGGGAATGTTGTTTCTGACATTGTGTATATATATGATAGATTTGTTAATTGTTTAACCTATACGCGACTTCTTGATTTGTGTGAGAGGCAGCTTAGCTGCATATGTGTTGTAGGGAAGTGCCTTACACATCTAGCCCAAATGAAGGCGCGTTGGAATGGGCTTTGTGCTCCAAGTTACAGTAAAATTTATATATTGTAATTTGATGGTGTGGGAAGCTCAATTTTGAGTCTAAATGGGTCACTTATACTTGCTTTGTTTATCATGAAATAGGTGTTGATACAGCTTGGAGATATACTTGATCGAGGGGAGGATGAAATAGCTATCTTGTCATTGTTGCGGTCTCTTGATATTCAGGCAAGAGTGGAAGGAGGAGCTGTCTTCCAGGTATGTGCGTGTGTTTGGATGTGACTGTTGATTTATAAGCCATGGTGTCATGGTGATATGTTTATTATCTTTGTTTTTTAGTGAGATCATGAAATGTCCTTCTGATGTTAAAACCAACCTTTAATGACCTTCATATACCTCTATTTTTTTAATCATTGTTCACCCTCATACAACATGAATTCCTAGCTTCCCTCTTTTTTCCTGCTTTGAAGATGCCATTGTTATAGGTTTAGCCAGTTCATAAATTGATTTTGTTATACTACCTCCGTTAACTATTATTTGCAACAAAGGGGTATTATTTGTGAGATATAAAATATTCCTTTGTTGCAAATACGGAGGTAGTAATTATTTTGTTGAAACCTTTCTTTATTCCTTGGATAGGTCAATGGAAATCACGAAACCATGAACATAGAAGGTGATTATAGATACGTTGATTCTGGGGGATTTGAAGAGTGCATGGATTTCCTAGAGTACTTGAATGAGTGTAATCACAATTGGGATGAAGCTTTTATTGGTTGGAATGCTGTTTCAGAGAGGCGGAAAGAAGATCGTCAAAAATACCAAAATAACTTTGATCCTTGGAGTCTAATTAAGGTATTGGGACTTTTTGTTCTGCTTGATATTACAAATCAATTCCCACTTTGTTATGCTTATGCATCTATTATTTGCCGAGTTTGGCATTTCTGATGAAGTTTCAGCAGGCAGTCTCATGCTCTTTATTCATGCTGTGTTTTTTGACGATAGTCTTGTAATAATACACATGTATTAGGACAGAAGCAGAGAGGAATTATTGCCCGGTCAGTCCTCCTTCAACCAGGAGGCCGACTTTCTCGTGAATTAGCACGGCATCCTATTGTCCTTCAAGTTAATGATTGGGTCTTTTGTCACGGTGGACTTCTTCCTCACCATGGTGTGTACTATGAACTCATCCTTTAAATGCTTTTATTTTGGCTTTTTTTAAAAAAAGTTTGGATGTTTGACTCTCAACTCATATAAAAAGAATTTGGTTATTTAGTTGGTTATGGCATAGAGAGGATGAACAAAGAGGTTTCCCATTGGATGAGAGTGGAGCATGACAATGACGAAGATACTACATCCCCTCTTCCTTTCATTGCCACGAGGGGATATGATAGTGTTGTTTGGAATCGCTTATACTCAAGAGATACTTCAGATTTGGCTGACTATGAAATTAACCAGGCAAGAATTTTCTGCTTTCTAAGTTGCATGTATAGATATGTTCAAAACTTCCCTGTTTTATCAAAACTCAAGAATGATGCAGATACCTTCCGGAAATTGAATGCTGCATTCTGATTAACTTCTTTTTATTTTTTTTTATTTATTTTTTTTAAGATACATGAAATGCTTGAAGAAACTTTACGAGCTCTTGGTGCTAAAGCGATGGTGGTGGGTCATACCCCTCAGATTGATGGGGTGAATTGGTATGTGGTTAAATTGATAGCATGCAGTATACCTGGGGTGGCTTCCTAATTATATTGCACAGTTGTGATGCTTTCCTGAACTCACTCTCAAAATTTGATATATTTTGTATGGATTTGTAGTGAATACAATTGTAGCATATGGCGCGTTGATGTAGGAATGTCTAGTGGAGTTCTTAATTCAAGACCAGAGGTAAAGTTTCTACTTTGTAGCTTAGTACTTAAAAAAAAAATTTCGCGGAAGTTCAAATAATAACTCCTTGTGTTCATTAGAAATCTTAGTCTCTTTTTTGGATATATTTGGGTTAGGATTTTAGGTTCCATTTTTTTAAGTGTTTGTGTAGTTTTTTTAGGGTGTCTTATATGTCAATATTTCTGTTAGGTTTTGGAAATCAACGGCGACAAAGCAAGAGCAATTAGAAGCCATGGTGATGCGTCCAATGAACTACAGGTTCTCAGCTACTTATAAAACAAAAGAAAATGTAACTGGGATGGAAGCAATATGATTAATTTGGCCAATCTTGTAAATATTGAGCCAATATGTTCGTTTGTTGATAATAATGGTTGTGTGTTTATTGCTTGTTTCATTAAAAGATCACAATTTTGTTGCTATGTTGATTGTTGATGAACGAAAACAATTATACTATCACTTAAGATAAATCGTCGTGGTTAACTCGACATATATGCAAAATCCATAGCAAACAATATTATCACATACTTCCTCTGTTTTGTTTTTAGTTGACACAAATTAACTTTTACATTATTTACAAACTACAATTTGATTAACTTTCGTGATTTATAGAAACATAGTCACGTGAAATTCTGTTTAAATCATCTCAATGTATATTTTATATTAATATTCACTTTTAATAATTTACCATGCCGAAAGTTAGAGATATTAATCATTAAAATAGTGTGTTGGCAAGCATGATTAAAGGAAGGTGTCAACTAAACTAGGGTCTGACACCTTAATAAATTAGGGCCGGTTCTTTTCAGCTTAATTTTAATTTAACTCAGTTCAGTTTCTAATTTCATTCACTCATAAACAATTCAGTTCAGCTCAGCTCAGTAAATGAGAATAGACCTTTAAAACGGAAAATAAAATCTTTGATATAATGTGGCAAACAAATCTAAATATTATACTTCGTATTACTTGATCCATACTTTATTAGGTAAGTTTTTGGTAGATAAATTCTTTAAAATACCCTTATAAAGTGTATGTGAGGACTAAGGACAACTTTTAAGGGTAAAAAGGTGAATTATACGGCGTACACACTAAATACAATTTCTCTCTAATTTCCTTCACTATTGTGCGAAAGGCTATGAGTCAATTAAATAGAAATAGAGGAAGCATGTAGCAAAAAATGTAATATAATGTGGATCTACCATTTTAAGTTGTATTCCTCCGTCATTTGATCCTTAAATCTCTTCCCGTGACTCCAAATCAATGTATTTTACTGCGTATTATTTCTTTTTTCTCACATTCTAATGTTTCATTCTAAACGCAAATCATTTTTACGCCGTATAAAATTTTCCAAAATTTTTTATCCAATACAATGTTGCTTCAAAAAATTCTCCAAACTTTTGACGTAAGGTGATACTTGTATGTTGCTTGCTGTTAAAAATATATTGCTACGACTTGTTTAATTATTTGATTTATTATCTTATTAGGACCCTCATTTGCACCATTAGTTTGCTACAACTCATTTTAATTGGTTAATTTTTTTTTTTTTATAAAGAAATTCTTATTAGAGTATCCCTCATTTGCACCATTTGTTTGCTACAATTTTTTTTTTTTTAAATTTTTTTTTATATATGTTACTCTGTATTAGAGTTCCCCTTATTTGCACCATTAATAAATAAACAAATACAAGCTATTACAAACTTTTATACGTAGTTGGATCGGGAAAAAAAAAAATCATATATAGCTGGTTATATCATGTGCCGGAATTACATGATTAGGGGTTACTCAATGAAAGATTACCCGATTAGTGTTTTTAATGTACGTCAACCGGCCATATATATTTTTCTGAAAGGAAGACTTGTGGAGTTTGAGTTCAGTATTTCCAACCAAATTAACAACTATGAACTACAAGTCTATACTTAATATGTGTTTAATTAATTGTTTAACCTTGTAAACTCCGCAATTCCCAAACTTATACAGGTTGATTCCTAAACTGCCACCATTTTCTCTCCTCTGCTGCTATACTATCTCTCTTCCACTTCTCACACTCTCTCAATCATGGCATCTTCCCTAATTCTACCTTCAGTCTCTCTGAAAAAAACCCCATTAAACTACTCTCAATCCCTTAAAACCCAAAAGTTTTCAAGCTTCTTTGGGTTTAAAAATGGCGGCAATCTACGAATCAAGTCTCACGGAACTAGGGTTTTTATGAGCGTTTCTACTGGATCCCCTTCTCAAACTGCTGTTGATGACGCTTTATTCTCCGATTATAAGCCTTCTTGCGCTTTCCTCTTTCCTGGGCAGGTCATTGTTCTTTGCAATTTTTTTTAATCTTTGATTTTCGCATAATTCATTTAATATTTGATGTTTTCTTGTGAGAATTCAGAGATTTGATGTATTAGTAGGTTAAATTGGTATATAAAATTGAGATTATTGATCCGCATTGTAGAATTATAACTGATTAATTGCATCTTCAAGTGTAGAAATAATCAAATAGTGGGTTTGTGTTAATTTTGGGGGCTGGCATTGTTTTCAGGGAGCCCAAGCCTTAGGAATGGGTGCAGAGGCTCAGAATGTGCCTGCAGCTGCTGCCTTGTTTAAGAAAGCTAATGACATTATGGGGTATGCTTAATTGTGATGCTTTTTTCTGCATTAATTTTTTTCCGGCGCCGAGCCTGGTTTTAGGTTTGCAGTGTTTATCTTTGATGGTTGAGGTGGGAGTTTTTTGTGTGTATGCTTTAATTGATTTATTTCTAGCCCTTAACATCTGTAGCTTTGATCTTTTGGAGATATGCATCAATGGACCAAAGGAAAAGCTCAATACAACTGTCTTAAGTCAGGTATCTTCCTCAGAAAAATGAAGTGTATTTTCTGCAACTTTACGAATATATGGCTTAGAATTACTATTTTTTTTTTTTTTTTAATGCGGTATATTGTTATATCGATAATCTTTGCCTTTATATGTAGAATTGAGCTAAGCTAAAGTTAACAAGCTTATCCTAGTGGTATATAGAGCTATCAAAAGTTGACCCGACCCGAAATACCGACTTAAACCCGATTATTAACCGACCCATCTAAACCCGAAAAAATGGTGATCCACACCTGACCTGAAACCAACCCTATTCCCAAGTTGACCCGAGTATGTGAGACCCGAACCCGAACATGAACTGACCTAGAGATGACCCGACCCGAATGTAACCTGTAAATTATTAACCTGAATCAAACCCACTTGAACCGAATTTGACCGAAACCCATTTTAACCCGTCAAAACACGAATTTAACCCGACTTATTACTAATCTAACCTAAATTCAACCCAACCTGTTTCTAACCCGACTCGAATTTAACCCAACCTGTTACAAACTCGACCCGAAATCAACCCTGACTTGTTATTGACCTGACCCAAATTCAACCCGATTTGTTATCGACCCAACCCGAATTTTACCAAACCTATTGCTAACCCGACCCAAAAATTCAACCTCATCTGATACTAACCTGACTTGAAATCAACACGATTTGTTATTGACCGGACCTAAATTCAACACAAATTGTTCTTGACCCGATTTCAAATCACCTTAAATGCAATTTAGACCACCTTATTATTGTTGATCAAAGCATTTTGTCTAAGGAGACCAAGTCGGTCCATGCGATCAAAAGAAAGGAGCATCATCCTCAAATTTAAGAGTTAAATATAGTATATATTTGTTGTATAGTCAAAGAAGATAATTATTTTCTTAAATTATAGACTATAATTCCCTAGTATATTGCCATACATATTGTAGTCAATGGAAATAATTAGCTTGATAAAAATGATAATTATCTACTTATAGTTAGTTGAACCCGAATAACCTCACTTGGAAATGGCCTGACCCTATTGTTACCTCTAAACTATTGACTTGAACATAACCCGACTTAAAAATGACCCAACCTTATTATAACCCACAAATTATTGACTTGAACCGAACCTGACATGAACCCGAGAATGACCCGACTTGAAAATGACCCGACCTGATTATAACCCGCAAATTATTGACTTGAACCAAACCCGACTCAAACCCAAGAATGACCCAACCTGATTATAACCCGCAAATTATTGACTTGAATCGAACCCAACTCCCGAGAATTACCCTAATCCGTTTTAACCCGCAAAAACCCGAATTAATCCCGACCTATTGTTTACCCTACCCGAATGTAACCCGACCTGTTATTACCGCGACCCAAACCCGATAAAAGTGTGACCCGACGTGACCTAACGAAAACATGACTTGACCCAAACCTGCCCGCATAGGTTATGCAATTAATCCGAATTGACCCGACCCGAGTTGACCCGACCCACTATTACCGACCCAAACCTGACACATTTACCCGAGTTGACAGCTCTACCCGAAACCTCAAAATTTCTCAAAAAGCGTGGATATTAAACTTCAATTTTGGAATTTTTTAGACTTTTTTTTACCCGGAAATAAAAATTGCAGAAATGTTTACCATGGTCCCTAATACCCTCCGGGTGTCCAATTGGCTACGTGGAACCATCCAATTTGCCTTTAAAACGACCAATTTACCGATTTACAACTTGCACGGATTTCATTAACTCAAGCATACTACGAACATTTATGACATCATATAATAATCATATATGGTTTCAAACGGCATTATATGACCCCGAGATGTATCCCCAAAAATATCAATGCTTTTGACCCCAAAACATTCGAAATTTTTAAAAAAGCGTAGATATTAGCATTCAATTTTGGAAATTTTTGACATTTTTTCGTCCGAATATAAAAATTGCCGATATGTTTACCATGGTCCCTAATATCCTCCGGGAGTCCAATTCGGTGGGTGGAACCATCCAATTTGCCTTTAAACAATTAATTTACCGGTTTACAACTTGCATCGATTTCATTAACTAAAGCCTACCACGAACATTTATGACTACAAATAATGATCATATATGGTTCCAAACGGCATTATATGACCCCAGCATATATCCCCTAAATTTCAAGACTTTTCGACACCGGACCACGAAACCTAAAAAATTTATCAAAAAGTATGGATATTAGCCTTTAATTTTGGAATTTTTTGACTTTTTTTCGCTTGGAAATAAAAATTGCCGAATTGTTTACCATGGTCTCTAATACTCTCCGGAAGTCCAATTGGGTGGATGGAATCATCCAATTTGCCTTTAAACGGCTAATTTACGGGTATAAAACTTGCACCGATTTCATTAACTCAAGCTTACCACGAACATTTATGACAACAAAAAATGATCATATATGGTTCCAAACGACATTATATGACCCTGAGATGTATTCCCTAGAATCTCAAGGCTTTTTGATACCGGGCCCCGAAACCTCCTAAATTTCTCAAAAAACGTAGATATTAGCCTTTATTTTTGGAATATTTAGACTTTTTTCAAATTTTTACCATGGTCCCTAATACCCTTTGGAAGTCCAATTGGGTGGGTGAAACCATCCAATTTGCCTTTAAACGACCTATTTACCTGTTTATAACTTGCACCGATTTCATTAAATCAAA